CGGTTCCTCTCGTAGTACGGTGAATCGCTAATTTACCGACCGTCGTACCTACGCCTAGCGCGATCTGTCTCGCGCGTAGTGCGATGCTTGCGAAAGATTCTACTGCAAAAATGTCGACGAGAATAACGGTTTGACGAAGGACGAAAGTATCAATGATCTAGAAAGTGAGTACCACAGGGAAGGAAAACGATTGTTCGACTGTGATTTTTCTGTGACATTTTGCGATCCTTTGATTTCTTTTTTTTTCTCCTTTGTTTAAAATTACCGTGATCGACTGTAAATTTTACGCTACGATTTACACACCAGCGTTCGATAAACGAGTAATAGTAACGTCTTTTCTTATTATTTTATTTTTACGAGTAAACGCGCGTGCGTACATCGAGGATTTGTTTGAATTTGTATCGAGTGGCAAAATATGACTAGTAAGTAACTTCGTCGCATTTACGCTGTTACGTCATGAACGATTCAAACACATTACAAACAGAGATTATTAATTCTGAGTGTTGTCGTATTCTTCTGTATAATTTGTATCGTTGTATTATTTTCAATTTACGTATAATATATCGTAAACTGGTTTTGGAAGATAATCGCTGCACAAAGCTTGTATTCTTTCTTTGCGCGACACTGGTGTATATTTTCTCATTGGAAAAGTTTTCATTACTCCATCGATTAAAGCTCTAGTTACCGGTGTCAAGTCTATATCGGTCTCTCGTGTATATCTTTCAAGAGCCAACATTTCCTTCTGAAACAATTCTTGTCCGTATTCTTTGCGGGTTTGAGGATCTAGTTGAGTCCACATATCTCTGGCTTGTTCCAACAATGAACCGTTATCTTTTAACCAAGCATTTCCAGATACGTATTCGCTGGTTTCAACGATAACTACGTCCACTCCCCATCTTCTCATTTCTAACCTAAGACAAGCTGCCCAAGCTTCAACTGCAGCCTATCGTTACATACGCGCGTACATGTGAGTATCTTGTTAGCGTTGTATTTCAATATATGAGTCATTGGTACTTTTAAAATTGTCTACCTTGACAGCACAATAAATGCCCCGAACAGGACTTGGTATACGAGCTGAAAGGCTGTTAACTATCACAACACGACCTTTTGATCTTCTAATCAGAGGTAAAAAGACCTTTAAATTAAAAATTTATTAAATCAGTTGATAAACTTACTGATATTTATAGTCATTGCAATGTGTATGCGTAAAGTCACCTGACTTAATCTGGCAAGACCGATGAAATTAATGTCTACGCTGCGTCTTAATACGGAAGGAGGTATCCATTCGCATTCACCTAGCGTCACCCAAGCAGCAGCATGTATTAATGCCCACAAACCTATCGTAAGATATTTCCGTAAGTACACGCTGTAATAAATAGATTTTACCGCGGATTATTCATCGTCAAGAAAATAGATATAAACCTGGTGCTCCATCTGGTAAGTTTTCATTTACATAAAGAAACGTTGAATGAATGTCATGTTCGCTGGTAACGTCTAATTGCAATATGTGTAATCTGCCGGAAGCTTCCTGTTTTAATTTTTGCATTGCCTCTTCACTTTCAACTTTTGTACCAAAGCCGGCAAATACCGTAAATCCCTTTGGAAATAAATTTTGTATATGTGGAACGTGTGATGACTACAAATGAACGATAACAATTGTAACATTGTAGGATACGTGGAAATTATCTTACCAATTCGTCTAATTGTTTGCTTAAAGTATATCCAACTCTTGAATCACAACCTGTAATAAGAACTGCTTTTCCTGCCGCAGTTACCTGTAGCAAGTATTTATATTTTTGTACGATTGTATGTTCGTGTATTAACATTGTAAAATACTTGTACATTACTCGTATTAGAATTAAGAGATAAATATTGTAAGCTTGTACTTGTCCTGTGTAATCTCGTATAGATTAATAAACACACGCGTTTTTAATGACTTACCTTTAAATTATGATAAAACAATGTAAATCCTACAGATATGACCAACGATAAAAGAAAAAGCACAAAACTAGATGTTTGCGATATACTCAGTGTGTTTAATATAGTTGCTAGAATGACTGCAATTGCATGTGAGAATGCAATTGGAAGAAGACATCTTTCTGCTAATTCCCACGTTTGACCGTCATCTGGTTCTTTGCTTGCACTTGGTAAAGGCATTTCTAGTTTAATTCTGATGATATTTTAAAGAAATTTAATCGATTACGTTCGGATGGGACTTCAACTAAGTGCCCTAACTGGGCTAACTCTGAGCTAACTTTAAACTTTGAGTAGCATCTAGTCTCGTTGATCTAAATTTAGCTACAGTGCTGTGTCCTAAGTTCGTAGATCCTAGTAAAATTATATATTTTATTTAAAGTGTAATTAGAGCCTCTCTCTCTCTCTCACATATATATATATATATGTGTGTGTGTGTGTATATATTATATATATATATATATATATAATTTCATATTCATAATTATACTTCACGTATCTTTGTAATTCGTTTCCCACAAAAGATATTTTTTTTAAAATATTAACGTGTATGAATATACGTGTACAAAAAAATTTATATTTTTTGTATTTTATTGTTGATGAGAGACAAATAACAATTTTATGTTATTTGAGAAAACTATTTTCTGATTGATCTTTTCGCTCGTTTATACATTAAAAACAATACCCTGCCAAACGCGTTGATCTTATGACAAAGAATAGAATAGAGATAACTGATAAACGAATAAATTTCAAAAGTAAATAGGAAATCGATTCTTTCGTTGAAATATATTACTCGACTTTCATCGATGAGAAGTTGAGTTGCAGTGTAAACGATTCATTTGCCGAATGATAAAAAAATGAATACCAAAGTGGGGTAGGTTATTGATTTCTGTGTGGGTGCCATGTTGGGAGGCAATACCATGGTGGGTGTCTCTTGGTCATACCATACGCGGTAGTCTACAGAGAATATAAATAGGAGGGGTAGTTGCACCATTGACCCAGTGTTGAGTTGACGTACGGTCGGTTCGGTCGCTCGAACGGAATATTGTCTTACGCCTTTCTTAGTTTTATATCTGTGTACGTGAATTGTTAATAACCGTAGTGGAAAGCCCCTGTAAAATCAACCAATGCAATCCGAAACACTGCCCTTTCTTACTTACCTTCCAACTTTACAAATTTACACCCGAATCATCGGCGTGTATCCAGTGTTTTAAGCATTCTGCACGAACGTTGTTCTATGATAAAAAAAAATTCAACAAACATTGGTGGACACCCGTTAATCGAGTGTACGCGAATCTCGATTTTTCTTTCTAAAGATAATTAGCAGCACTGATAAACCAATGTGCAACGATAATCAGGCCTTAGCGGTGGTCAATTTTTTCGAAGAAAGTTTACTTTTGACGACATAAATTTCGTACGTTTTTGACCGACGTTTGATCGAACAAGGAAACGTACAAGCCAAACGAACTTATTTGTGAGTGATTCTCAGATTATTATATATTCGTTTAAAGCAATATGTCAGAAATAGCGGGAATCTCGCAAGGATTGGGAAATCCTTATAAAATTGTCGATCACACCCGAGAAAAACGAAAGGGAATCACTGCTTCTTCTTTGAAAGAATTAACCAATATTGCAAGAAATCGCCTGTCTTTGCCTTTGGATGCAGAATTGACAATCGTCCTGGAACAAGATGGTAAGAAAACACTTTTATCGTTTATCGGCGAGTAAATATAAATTTCATGTACGAATCGATATGTGAGCAGATTACTCGAGTATTGTTGCTTTTATGTTAGGAACTGAGGTAGACGATGAAGAATATTTTGCAACGTTGGAAAGAAATACTAGTCTGATGGTTCTGCACGGAGATCAAAAGTGGGCGGCAGCGGGAAGTAGTAAAGCTGCTTCTCGTTACATTGTTGTCGACGACGTAGATAACATAGAAGGCGGACAAAGAAGAGAGGAACTCGGAAGGCGTCGACCACCGATAGAAGCTTTAGTTTCATCGTTGCACGGTGATCCATCTCACATATCGCTCCTTGACGGACAGAATTTAGAACTGCTTAGTGACATGGATCCAGATAGCGTAGCTGATATAGTGTCTGGCAATATGTGAGTGTAGTTTTGAAAATTAGATTGGAATATTACAGGTTATTGTTATAAAGACGTAATGCCGTTTAATACGTTGTTTCAGAATCTTCCTTGAGCAACTGAAAGAAGCTTCGGGTAGATTCTTGGCTGAGAAACGGCAAGCGCAAGGATCTTTGGATGTTCTTCAGATGTGTGCAAGTGGTGGAGAAATAGAGCGAGCGTAGGCCATGTGGGGGGTGGGCGCCCTCACATTGGCTAACATGTATCGAGTGCGACGTCGCATATTTTATAAAGGTCGCCAGTTACAACAAACTTTGATCCTTTTCTGGAATTGAGCCCGTCGTGTTTAAAGCGTACGAGTTTACTGCGCCGTTTACCGTCGTATTACTCGTGAATGTTTGCATTGTCAATGAAAGTCTCGAGATTCTACTATGCAACGTTTTAAAAGATGCAATGGTGAAAAGACGTGTATAGGAACTAGTGAGTTCCTATTTTTGACGGGTAGTTGAGTCTTGTTTCTGAGATATTTGCAGGTATTTACTAAATGTGTGTACATTTAAATTTATTAGCAAAAGAAGAATTTATTTATGGAACATTACCGCTTGTCAGTGCTATGAGTTAATGCATAGTTACATGTTTTGTTAATAGCAACTTGTTTTTCTGATTGTTTTTTTTTATTTTATATAGGTTTATAGCATAAATACACGGTTCTGGTGTTATTTATTTTGTAGAATATGACATAAGGAATTGCTTTAATGCAAAATGAGGTCTTAAAATACACATGCATAGTTAAACACGTGCAATTTAGCCAAATAATCTGTATGTATTGCGTAAACAAAAGCTATGTAGAAATATCATGTCAAAGAAAATATTCCGTCACGATGTTGTCATATCAGTATTATCAAAAAGGCGACATGTTTGGTTCATGAACTTTTGTACGTAGATATATCGTACCAACTCGTTTAGTTCAACGAAGATCGATGAAATGTTTAAGACTGAATTTATAGAGAAAGAATGCATCCCCATTGTAATCATCAATTCATTGTACACTAAATTTAGCGTGGTAATAGGGAAAATCAATATCAGCTCTTTGATACCAGAGTTATGCATTTGATAAGAAAAACTGCAGAAAAAAAAAAGAAAATGTGCACGTGTTTCTGAAAAGATTATGCGTATGCAAAATGATGTTGTATTAAAATAAAATTTATTATATCTATACTTGTTACGAAAGTGAAACCAACTTTACAACGTTTAAAGACATAAATTACTTAACGTTTATACGTAATAATGCTTATTTTAAATTTTAAAAGTAAAAGATTCAATGCTTATGTTTATTCTTTGCAGAAACACTCTAAACGAAACATCGTGACATTCTTTGATATATAACATCTTAACGTCTGTATACTACAAAATAATGTTTACATTTACTGTCATTTGGATATTTAAAATGCAACGATCAGCATAGACATATTAATAATTGATAGCATCCAAATGCGTCGGTGATTATAAATTTGTTCTATAATTTCTAACGATGTTTCTTTGTGAGATTGAACAAAGTAATATTTTAAAAGGTATTAGAAAATAGTTGATATATTTAATAGAACTGCCAATTAAAGAAAAATTGATGCTCAATAATGTCCCACCCGTCGTGTCCTTTAAAAATACTGATTTTTTAACACTGATATCTAACACATTATACTAAGGTAGCTCTGTTATTATCATTGTTATTATTATCATATTCTCATGTTCGTTACATATTTGGATAAGTCTTATATATAACAAAATATATTTACATCGATTAGGTTTTAATAGAGGATATAATATTTCCATCTATGAGTTGAGACAACACGTTGGAAGTATCTTTCGATCGATCACAGGCGCTACGTAATTGAGAAACAGCCTCTTGAAGAATAAGTTCACTCTTTAGCAATTGTTTGTTAACAGTTGATAGTTCTTGAGTGGCATTGCCAATTGTTCCATCGATTAATTGTATAATGTCCTTATCCAATGTTTCATTGCATTCGTCTATTTTATCATGAAACATGTCAATTGAAGTATTAAACATTTTTTCTTAAGCGAAATAAATATTGTATATTATTTGTATGTATAAATATTGAGAATAATAAATGTTCTAAATAATTAAAGTTTTAGCTGAGATAAAATGAGCTTGAATCTAATGGAAATTTTCATTATTCTAGTGATTGTGTTACTACAGATTCTTCTGCGTCGAAATTGTTATATGATATTTTAGTAATAGTAATGCATATTGTATTACAGCAGTATCAATAAAATGATGTTAACGGAAGTATTCATTCGATTATTTTTAAAATTAACGCTTGAACTTACGTAATTTTTTATGAAGTAAACTATTATATTTTATAGAACATTTTTTTGATTTTGGTATTTTCATTTCTGGTATGCAGGTCATGGCATCGACTGCTCCGCTAACACTGCTTATACTTGTTCCATCTAACGAATGGATTAGATCAGAAAAAATATTACTACTGTTATTATTCTCGTTGTAAATAAGTAATGTTATTAAATGCAAGACCTTACCATCGTCAGACTCTGGAGCTTCGCCAGAAATAATTGTACCACGGTAATTAGGAGCCCTTATAAAAGGGAATCCCGTACCCTATGTACGAGATATCATAATTTATGTATGTATTTTTTTACAACATGTAAATTATATAATGTAAAAATAACATACGGTGACAATGCTCGCAACGTCATCGTCAGATTCTGAAGCCTCGCCAGAAACAACAACCGCTTTCAAGTCCATGTTGTATCTGAAGGAATAAATAAATTCAGGAATAATTCAGAGTCGATACAAGTTAGTGTCAATTTGAACAAAAATTCTTTAATATTTTCATGTATCGTAACATCTTGTTAATAGATAAAAAATTTCATATTAATTGATTGATGCTAAAAAAATTATAAAGACAAGATTAACATTTTATAATACAGATTAAACATTTTATAATTTGAATTTCTGCTTTCTCTGATTAACGATTATACTTATACTTATAGATGGCATTTAATTGTCTAACCTAAATTTTTACTCACGATTATAGTATTTGAAGAAACTGAAATATTAATTGTATGCAGTAATTGTTATTTTGTAGTATATTGTATTTTTGCTACGTTATACAAGAATAATAGACACAGAAGAATTAATATTTATTTATTATTTGTGCGTACAACAGTGAACTTGTAACCGCGATAATTCAGATCATTTCGATATATATGTACTACATATTATGTTTTCTTTAGCGAGTGTTGTGAATTGTTACAGCGTATAATTACAAAATTTGTATTTGTAGTGAACATCACTAATATATATTTCTTTTACAAGTTTTTTATTTTTATATACAAAGAGATATTATTTACATGAGTAATTAATCAAGTGTAAAATATTTAAGTATTAAAGTTAACCGCGTAAAACGTCTAATTCTTCTGGAGTAACATGCATTCTCAATTCTTTTTCTCGTATTACATCTTGAACTTGCGTAAGAAGTTGAGGTGCAACCTCAGCTGCATCGATGTAAATACTTCTAGCCCAAGGACATGATGCAACACTTTCATGGTATACTTCTTCTCCTTTCTTTTCACACAGATTATATTCCCTAAGAAGAAGCATGTATAATCTCCACGATAAAGGGCAATTTTTAATTGTTGGCATTCTGCAAATTTAATATTTGTGTTATTTATTTCTTAATGCTATGTAATAACTTGAGTGATATATCATTTAAAAACATACCTTGCAAGTGTTTGATGAAAATACAATAATTTATTAATTGCTGCGTTCATGCTGACATAATCTTTAAGCTCGTGCAGAAAACGAATACGTTTTCGGCTTGCTAAACATATAGCAAATGCTTTCCACAGTGGAAGTTTCGTCACGCGACTGTTGCTCTTCCACAATGGCAATTCACTCTGTCAAACGAATATTATAATTAAGATATTTTCTGTCGTAATTGGAAAATTAATTTTACATTATTCTATATATACCTCGATACATGCAAATGCTGAAAGGGCAAAAAAATTATTTGGGTATAAATCCAACATATCATTTAGTTCTGATTTAAAAAAATTTTCATGTTGAATCAGTTTGTCGTGTAATTGCAAAAGTGCGATTTGACTTTCTCGTAATAATTCCTACAATGTACAATATGTTAAATATACGGTAAAATTTTTACTATAAAAAATAAAGAAATAAGATTTGCTACCTGCATGTAATGATTGTCTTTGTAATGATTTATACAGATTCTAAATAAGCCAGTTACTCTATTAATATCGGAATTTTGTACATATAACAAATATGCATAACACACAATTGTATCACATTTGACGTTTGGTAGAAAATACGTATTTTCTTCGTTTTCTAATGGAGCTTCTTGCAAAAAATTTCGTATGCAATTCTCTAAATATTCTTCCACTTGCGGCAATTGGTTTCCATTTGTTTCCGGTATTATTTGTTTCATAACATCCAATATCTGTGTTTTATGTGTTTCCTTATAAGTTTTTAAATCAAGTAACGTTTCAACAAATGTTCGATATAAACTTAAAAGTGCGGTTTTTTCTTCTGGATTGTGAATTTCAGAAGGACGTGCATTTTGAGATTGAATGGCCGTTTGTAAAATATTTACACAGTTATCAAATTTCCCTACTTCTTTTTCTATCAATGCGTATTCTCTATAGAAATGTAAATTATTTCTATTTCCGTCTTTTTTAAAGAATTCCTTTAATGTTGTTTTCAGTTTCTTTCGTCTGTAAAAGATACACGACGTGTATAAATTTTGGAATTTTTTCAAACGTGCAAAATAATGAAATGAATCTTACTTATTATCATATTTTAACGGATCATCTTTTTGAAGGAAAATAAGCAATCTTTCAAATCTTAACCACCAAACGTATAAACTTGTTCGTTGCAGGGGGGGTAAATCTTTAGCGATTGTAAAAAATACATCGCGTATAAAATCTAAATATGATTCTTGTGCAGGATGAAACATGAGATATTGAGGACCCGATGTTACACGTCCTTCAAGTATGCCGTTCAATAGTTCCTTCCTTTGATTGTGATCGGTCATTTCACCTACCATAGGATAAGCAAATGGAAGCAACACTTCTGAGGTTTCTATACCCCAATCAAGTTCTTGTAGTGTTAACATCTGGAAATAAGCAAAAATATGATAACTGTTGGTTAGTAATGGATGAAATTACAAATTGGGCTGGTGGTTGTGTATATATATATATATATATATATAGTCATACTTTTAACATGTAGTCTCGTGTAGGTAAAAGTGGTACTTTAAGTAAAAGCAGAATGTGAATTGCCATTCGAAAATTTAAATTTTTTGAAAGTATCGGATGAACGAAATCCGCGACATCATCGGGCAAAACAAATCTTCGAGAATCGCCAACTAATTCTAATTCACTTCTACTGACGCTAATCCAATGGCAATTTTCTCTTAATGATTCTGTCCTTTGCCATAATTGATTGAGTGGTAATCTTGACATTAATATTACTTCTTCCATCCCAACTGTGAACGAATACCGTAATAAATAAAGATGTATATAATATCCTTTTTTCAATTACAAACTCACTTACTTAATTTCTTTTCGTCTATTGTTTTTTTGAAAGAAAGACTATCTTTATCTAAACTAAGATTCAGAATGAGATTCAAACGTATTGTTTCCCACATTTGTTCCCAAAGTCCGGTATGTCTTAAAAATGTCAAACACCGGTACAACATTTCTATTGACAATGGAGTTGGATATTATCATTTTACTCGATAAAAATGGTGAAATAAATTACAACTTTTTACATACGTAATAATCGTTCGTCGTATACTCGAGGATTTGTTCTAGCTTTTTGCTTTAAAATGCAAAAGCATTTTAAATATAAATCTAAAACTCTTGGTACTGTACACATCGATACCGAGGCTTGTGTGGTCATGATAAATTCTTGCCATAAAGTAATATTTCCTGTATCTTTGTTAACTAAGGCTTCAAGTTGATTCGAGAATTCATCTGCAGGCAAAAGTTCTTCCATGAAAGATAACTTTAATTTCAATAAATTTGTGGATTCTGCATTTTTTTCTAAGGCCTTCTCAACTATAGATAATTTTTTTAAGGTTGTTGCCCTGCGAACATCCTTTGCGGTTTGATATTGTTGAAAATATCCTAATGTATCCTGTAAATATGAAAGGAAATATTCATGCAAAAAGTCTTGTCAGATATTTCTTGGTAGATAAAAATATACCTGAAATTCCATATATTCAATCCATAATTGAACGTCGTTTGAATTATTTGTTAATTTTTCATTATATTCTTTGGTTTTAGATTTCTGCAACTCTTCCAATTTAACGTACCAAGAAGGAATACATTGTTCTTCTTTAGATGAATTAGTGGTAGATTCTTTTTTGATAACGGTATCTTTCTTTTTATTTTTTTCTATGTAATCAATATTTTTTACATAGTATCTTTTATAATTCTCCTTCTTTGATTTTTTATATGGAACAAAACCAAGGGAATTTATCTTAATATCATAATATGGCCTGACACTAGAATAAAGTGTATTTATACTACTATTTCCTTTATCCCTATATTTATCCTCAAAATATACGTTTTTTACATCTTTTTCGTATTCAGGTTTTTCGTGTATCTTTTTATTCTTCTTCTTTCTTTTTATATGCTTGGATGTTTTTCTTTCTTCTGTTACAGGCTTCTGATTTTTTGAAGTAGCGTACACAGTTCTCTGTTTATGCGAATAAGAAGTTTCGTCTGTAGTTTCATCCGAAGATTCGAAAGAAAAGTTGTCGAAATTTTTAGACGAAATCTGTTCTGAATAACTGGAATTGTACAGCCAACTAGTCGTCTCGTTTTCTAGAACTGAAAATAATTATGATATAATCAATCTTATTGATACTGATTGATACTGATGCGTGAAGTATTCGATTAACCTTTCGGAGCATTTGTTGATTCATTAGGTGTTGGAGATTTATTTCTTTCACTTGAATAAGCTGGAAATAAAGACATGCTTCCTGAAATCTATACCGCTGATAAGTTTACATGAACGATATTCTACGTTTTCATATTGGATACTAGATGACTGCTTACAAACAGTTTAGTACTGTCAAACATGCCAATCAGAAGAATGCCAATATTCTAGGAAATATACAGAGGTTAGTTTTAGTGTTATAAAGTGTATCATGATTGGTTGGAATAAATGCGCGGCAAAGTAATTTGAATTATATCGTAAAGTCAATATTTGTTATCATGATGAGAGATTATGTCAAATCTAAATTGAGAACGATATCTGCAAAATGTTTTGGAATTACGTGTCTAGTTGGAACGTGCAACATGTATTTCATTGTTCCAATGAAATGAACATGTGAATACGTCGCCCATCTTGGAATATTTGGAATTATATAATTTTTTTATTTCTCATGCTGGAAAGTAATTTTCTATCAAGTACAGAGGTTATAAATTGTTGCGCATATTTTAAGGCACGTATTAGTTAAATGTTTCGCAAAATTAACGTTGTGAAATCGATCTTTGGTGCTGTGTACTCATCCACTGAAGCATCTGCAACATCAAATGTTTCACACAGAGTGAGTATTTTTTTGTTAGTAATCTGGAACATGAATTTTTTTTAAGTTTGTAAAAAATATATCATCACCATGAAACAATATCGATGTATTTTCTAACATACATTTGTTATATTTTGTTATAGGTGCAGCAATTTAGGGAGTTGTTAAACAAAACAGATAATAATGACATACTTACAGATTCATTTGGAAGACGTCATACGTATTTACGTATTTCTATCACTGAACGTTGTAATCTACGATGTGAGCATTGATTAAGTAATATTTACTGCTTTAATTAGAGATATTTTCATAAAGTATCGTGTAAATTTACAAAGTGTTAATCTTGTAGGCTTATATTGTATGCCAGCAGAAGGAGTTAAGTTGACAAAAAACGATGGCATTTTAAGGACAGATGAAATAATTAAAATAGCTGAATTGTTTGTAAATGAAGGTGTAACTAAGATACGTTTGACTGGTGGTGAACCAACTGTTAGAAAAGAAATTGTGGATATTATTGGTAAGTTTTTATATTTATTACATACGGTACATTGAATTTTTAATATCGAGTAAGAGTAATTATTGCAGCTGGCTTGAAACAACTATCTAATTTAAAACAAGTTGCAATTACTACTAATGGATTGACATTAACACGCCAATTACCATTACTTCAACGTGCTGGGCTAGATGCAATAAATATTTCATTAGATACTCTAAGAGAAAATCGTTTTGAACAGTTTACTCGTCGAAAGGGATGGTCCAGAGTTATGGCTGCAATTGATCTTGCTATTCAATTGGGTTATAATCCGGTAAAGGTGAG